TGCTGAGGGTACATTCAATCCCCTCATCATGTTGAGCAGCCTCTGCCAGCCAAACTGTTTGATGTTGTGCTGGCTCTGTGACAAAGCCAGGCCGTACAGGAACGCTGGCATTATCTTCTGTTAAAAGTGAAGCTCTGATGGCATTAAACCTGAGCTGTGGTCTGACATGTTTCCCCTCAACACCTTCAACCATCACTTCTCTACATTGCCACCAGCTTTTGCTTGAGCTGTCACAGTATGACATTCAGCTAGTTTAAAGCACGGTTAGACTTTTAATTCAGGTAGTAAGAACTGATTTTCATATATACCCTGCCATGCTCGTTAAGGAGACAGGAGTTTGTGGGTATATTATGGCAGCGCAGAAAAGGTTGCTTTCAGGGTACGGTGAATTTCAGTTTCCGGTGGCTTCAATGATATTGCAAGATAAATAGGAAACAGGACAACTTTAGCAATTTTTGGATTACAGTCTTGTCCAGCTTAATAATTAAATCTACCATTAAAACTAAGTATATGCTTATGTTCCTTTTTTAAAGCACAGACATGGAGCAACTGTGGCTATAGCAGAGTACGAGTGGGTTATCCCAGTAGCCCAAACTGGCAACCTGCACAGGATGAGATGCTGCATGTTTCTGTAGTTCTGACCACTGATACTTGGTTTTGCTTTCACAGATCATAAAAGGGTCTTATAATTTCAAATAAAAATAAAACTGATTAGGTATTACTACATCAAACATTAGGTGATCACAAAATATATTTCCATTGACAGCAACTGAAGCATGATGGAGCTAAGTAACTTCACAACTTGAGTCTCAATTTTCTAGCACTAGCTTCTCTGCTTAGATGTGACATAACCCATCACAGAGCACTTTACAGAGAACTTACAGAAAGAGTTAAGGGTTTATTCATTGCTATAGTGCTTCACAAGTCCATATTGTCCAGCGCAATCATTGTTGTTGCTGTGATTCAGAATTCTGTTGACTTTGATTGCAATGATGTATGATGTCAACCAGAGTGAACAGGAGAAAATGCACCAGCCAATGATACTAAAGATTGGACACTAACTGCTGTATTCACATCTACCACCTGCTTTTAATAATTTTGTGTGGTCTAGCCCTTACTGTCTCCTTGGAAGCATGGAAGCTAAACTGATTCTTCTTATAGTTCTTGAGTAGCTGTCATCAGTTTAAAATGACTTAGCTTTAGCAGACATTCCATCTTCACTTTATAGCACAATGGACCTGACCTAAATCAGTGAAGGCAGACACCTGTCAAAGCTGTAGTAGACATCAGGGATGGATGAGAAGACTTAGAAGAAAACAACTATTTTAGATCTTTGGACGGCACAACTCAAACGGAATTTATTATAAAGTTCTGAAATGTCCAAACACATTTTACTGCCTTCTGTTTTCCAGATGGGTCTGCATTCAGAACACCAGAATACCACAAAAATGCTGTTTTTTTCCTGCTGCAATCAGAAGCAGCTGCAACAGAAGGCTATAGAAAATTATTCTTAGAAAATGCTTGTCTCTGATTTTCAAAGTAGAAGAGTTCAATAATTTGATTTAACTTTGCAAGGGTATCAAAAAATTTAGAATTGCATTAGGACACATATTTCAAACTCTCAGAAGCATACCCTTCACTAGCTGCTTGCTCCTAATGAGGGAATTGGAGTACTCCAGTGGGTAAAATTCAAGAGACAGGATTCTCATCCAGCCCGGCTCTAATTTAATAGATGGCTTTGACAGTATCACTTAAATTCTCTGCTGCTCAGTTTTCCCTGCTGACCTCAGGAATCACACTTCTAAAGCAATTTGCTGGAGTTTCAAGTCCGCACCCTTACTTATTTTATTCACTGTAAACTTGTATGGTGGTTAATGTAACATTTCTGGAGACAAATCATTATTCAGCATCCTATTGAATTCTATTTAAAATCCATTAAATGAGCACTTAGAGTTTAATCAGCAAAGTGTCAAGAGCCCCTATGACAAACTGATTCCTCTGAAAGTTGAAGGCATACAATAGTTGCAGATAGTGCGCAGCACCTTGCAAGCCCATAAGGACTTTTTTTACTATTTATAATTCCATTGTAAAGCTATTGTCTGCCTTTCCACTTTGGTTTTGCAGTCTTTGTATTCAGCAGGTTTACACAGCTACATGTGCACAACCTGTTCAAAACACTTGCCTATATCAAGTATACGATATGGAAATATGCATGATCATGCTCATGCATCTACCACACAGTGAGCTGCAGGAAAATGAAGGTGCTTTTAAAGCTTTTATTTTTATCTGACTTTATGGAAAATTAAAAAACAAGACAAGATTGTAATCTAACCAAGAATACCTTCATTGATATTAGTTCTCAGTATCTAGGAAGAACAGATAGTACCCAAATGAATAAGTGAAGAAGGTGAATATACAATCTCTTGGGCTTATATGGAAGTTGACTGATACTTGCAGCAAGCCTGACTCATAATAAAAATGATTTATTTAAACCTTTATTAGAAACATTGCAGGAAAGGAGATAACAGACAAGCACCACTTTGTTTACAGTAAAATTTCCTGTAAATTAAAAAGAGTTCTTATTCTCTGTTTGGTTTTGATTTTATACTGTACCAAGTATCTATTTATAAAAGGAAATATGATGGTACAAAGAGTACAAAGTGAATTGCAAAACAGATTAACAGCCAAGGTGAATTTGCTTTAAGTTAAGTCCTAGCAACACAGACACTCTGGATCCCATTAAGGTAAGGAAAATCACTCTAAAGCAGACCTTTCATGCACCATTACTGACAGCTGGGCTGCCTGAAATTCAGGCCAGAAAGCTACTCTCCAAACTGGGGTTGATATTAGCCCTGCAGCAAACTCATGGGTCACTCTTAGTGTCAAGAGTATAACTTTAGCCATGTGTCATGCTCAAACCTCTCTGACCTATGTGCAGTGCTGCAATTATCTCAATCTCAAGAGCAAAGCTCTCTTAATGCTTTTTTATTTTGCACTTTCTGAGCCACTTCAGCTTCTGGTGATGTTAATCAGAAGTGGAGACCATCAGCACAGTGCAGTAAGCGGAGAACCTAACAGAGCTAAGATTGTTTTGTTTTACTGAGGTGCCAGTGCATACTGTTACAAGCAAAGAGACACAACAGTGAGAAAAAGCCTGAACTGTTTTCAAAAAAAGATTCAGATTATGAAGACATAAGGCAGGAAGAAAGATGTTGCAGAGCACTGTATAAAAGTTTGACATAAAGTAGATAGTGTGTTTCAAAGGGATTATGTCTTGAGGACCTTTTCCTGCAATCCATTTTTGCTGAGTTTTCTCACTTATAATAATCCCTATACGGCTTGTAAAATAGTCTTTCTGAAGCCACATTTATGTTACAAAGTATGTTGCAACCTCAAATCGTTCCATCCCACAGAAAATCTTCTGGAAGGAGTCTTGGATGAAGATAATGTGTTCACAGTTGAAAAGGAATAATGAAAACAGATATCACATGCTTCATCAGAAAACTAGAAAACAAACTGTTTTGCAGAAGCAATTCACTTTGTTGAATTAGCCCTGGAGCCACTCTGGTATCTCTAGAGATCAGAAAACCAAGACTAGGACTTCATGGATCTTCAAGGTATCCACCCATGGTAATGCTCTCCTTGTACATAAAACAAAATATTTACATGGATGATGAAATCCTGAAATTATTGACATTATCTGGAGGCCAAGAGTTACATGTATTCATGGGGTTTACTCCAAACTGTTCTAAGACGCATTATTGGATATGTAGTACTACAAAATTAATGCTGGATTTTTGAAGTCATTTAGTTAATAAAACTAATTTGCAGACAAACATATGTATACGAGTTCAATGGTTTAGAAGGTATGCTGGCACTTACCTGGGGGCATGTGTTCGTTCATGATGACAAGTGATGCTGGTGTAGGCCTTCTTTTCCTGATCTGCAACATGCATAAACAAAGGAGAGTCATTAGGGTCCACCAACTGACCCACATCCAAAGTAAAGCAAAATAATCCATCTGGTGCTCTCATGAGCATAGACCAGGCAAAAATAAAAAACAAAATATTTGAAGAACAGCAGCACATCACTGCCTTACTTACTGCTCATCTGGTCTGACAGTAAACAGTCATACTGCTGCTTGTACATGAAAAGCAAAGGCACAGGGGAGAGCTTTCCAAAATACCTTTAGGATTTGCAATCATCATGAATAAGTTTTTGGACATGTATTGTTGACATGTGTCAGTCATATCTTAAGCTATTGAGGAAAATTATTGCAGCAGTTTGTGAGCTTACGTGCGTACATACCTAGTACTGTCATAGCTCTCACAAGTAATGGTTAATATTAATATTTTGTAAGTGCACTTGAGAGTTGATACAGCATAAATGCCTCCCAATGAATTGATGACACTTCTAAACTGTGGCCAAAGGTGTTACACCTGTTCTTTAACTAAAGAAAAACAATGCTTAAGGCTTTCAAAACAGACTTTTTAGAGGGGACTATACAACAGATCTTTACATATCAATATGTAATCCTGAACTGTAGGCCATTCTTCTTAGAATTTCTTTGGTTACATACGTTTGTTCTATTAACAAGTTGAACTACATGATATTGGACCACCCTCCTATAATGCAAACGTTTGCATTGAAAGTTATCTGTTGCTTCACTAAAGCCTCCAGGCTATTGATAGTCTATTGAATTTAAGAGAGGGATCAAGAGCACTTAAGCCAGAAACCATCCTAACACAAAACCTCAATGTCAGTTTGTTTGTTCTTTTTTAGTTGCTGAGCCAACATCTGTATTTAGCTGGGTTCAAATTTTGCCTTCAGAGGTGTAAATGGAAAATTACATCATCAGGGTGAATGGGTTTATTCCAGATTAGCATTACTGTAGTGACAGCAGAATTTACTACTTTAATTTCATCACTCACCCACTGTGAAACTGTATATAGCGCTTGGAATTAAACTTGCAACGTAAGAAAAGGACTGCTCATAAATACTGGGCAGAATCAGAGCCATAGCACTTCAAAAGCCATGGGAATTCGGGGAAATCCTAATCCTATGATTCTCACAGATTTCAGAAAAATACCAGAACACATCCTGTTTGACTTCATTGCACGACTGTTCCATAAGGCACGGACATCTTGCAGTTCAGAAATACCTATGGACAAAATGAAGACCTGCAGCAATTCTCCCCTGCAGCCTTCTAGTATTTCTTCTTTCAGTGGTCACTCACAACTCATCATTTTCTGGCAAAGGTGGCTGCCTTTTAAGGGATATGACATCAGAATATTCAGGAAACCAGATACCTGTCCTAAAGGTGCAAATAATTCTGTAGCAAATGCCACAGAACTGTCAAGGTTATAATATTCCCCTGGCATCATCTATAACTAGACTTACCGAAATAGAAGCAAATGTCAAGAAGGACTTGCACTGAGAGAAATACCCTGGGTCACCTAATTACAATTTAACCAGCTTTTCTCATAAGATTCCCTGTGTCCTTCTTTATGCATGTCTGTGCATATTGGTACGCAATAGTAGATACCTTTTCCTCCTTAGATGTCTGTATTGCTATATATATTGTATGTATGTGTATGTTTTGAAAGGGAATCAAAACCTAAAATAGCACACACGTAATTCCAACACAGACATAAGTCAGGCATATTTCTACATGTATGTATTTTTTAAACATGTTAAACACTGTAACAATGACATAAAGACAACTGTATAAAAATCATGAGAAATACAGGAGGCAACTGTTATGCTGTTACGATAACTGTTGTGCAAAACATAACTCACACTTTCTCATGTTAAAATGAATGGCAAATAAGCTGTCTTCTGCACAATATTCCCATTAGGTACCTATTATCAGCTTCATGTTTTGCTTTATGTACACTTAAGTTGATTTGTTGACAGTGTGTATTCATGTGAAGTGTATGTATTAGAGTATAAGTCCAGTATAGAAAAGGCACAACAAATATATACTGAATAAACCTACTCAAGGTAAAGAAGCCTTATGCAGGCTAGAGGATATCCTCCTCCCTCTTTGGGTGTATCCAGACACTGCTACAACGTCCAGAGCATTTAATCTATAGTTACACTAAAGTAAGTTGGAAAAGCATTTAGGCCACAAGTACTACCTATTCCCATCCTGCATCTTGCCCTCATTCCTACTCCATTCCTTCAAAATACCGAAAGAAGCTCATCTTCCTTACCTGCTCAGCTGCCTCAGGATCTATCTGACTCTGAAACAGTGGTACAGCAAACTGTATTTTTTTGGGGCTGTTGGGCTCCATCGTGATGCTGAGGTGAGTCAGATGAGAGAAGAGCCTGGAGCTTGAGACTGGATCTGCGCCTCTTCCTGGGCACCCTCCCCACAGCCAGGCTGAGTGCTCCTCGGGAACAGCTGCAGCTCCCGACTTAGCACGGGAATCTGCGTGAGCTGAGCAACTCCCTTATTCCACATTCACAGAGATGCCGCTGGCTTGGGTATTTTCTTCTCCCCCCCTCTCTTCTGCAGTCCTTCAGATCCTCTCAGCACAAAGCTGAAAGGAACAATAAGCTAACTGTGTATCCGTTCACTTCTACATATGCCAAGCATTCACTCAGAAGCTAATTGAAAATGCGATACCAGCATTGCATGGCCTGGAGCCCTGGGATTTGAAAAAGAGGATCTCTCCACCGTACATTACTAACTGGCTGCTCAGAAGTGCAATGCAAGCTCCCTCTGAGTATTGCTGATGGGCTCTTAATTATTGATGAACACAAATAAGGAAGTTTTCAGATTTTGGGGGTGGAGGCAGCAGGAGGGGTGGATGCAATAATTCCATCTCTGTTACAGTGTGCCTGAACTGCTCTCCTCGTCTCACATATCAAACAATTGCCTTTGCTTTTTAAAATCCTTTTCTAAACCTCTTCCAGAAAGATTTTTGATGATGCTGCTACATGGATGCCTACACTTCCATGCAGCTTAGCTGGTGTGTCAAGTGGGTTTGCACCCTAGGCTGGGTATGCAGATTTAGTCTGTGACTTCTATGGGTGGGCTCCATCTCACCTGAAAACATCCACATTTAAGCCAGCTGTCTGGGCTCCTTCATGCTAGACACACAAAAAGGCATGTCATCCTGTCCTAGTTAAGTGGAATATAGTGTTTACTGGAGATGAAATTTTCTCTCCATTAACCCTAGAAAAAGTAAAAATGGCTCAGACTAGTTGCATCACTTTTAGGTGGCTGAAATTCAGAGGGACAAATCCTACTTTGTGGTAGAAAATCTATACCTTCTTCCTAGGCAAGGAAAAGAATTTAGTCAATCATACCAATAATACCCTTTGGTGAATACAATTGATTTTCACTTTTCATTTCACCTAAGCTAAGCTAAAGAGGGTTGGGCCAGTCTCCCATTACACACTACCAACAAGTGGGAAGAAAGAGAAGATGAAGTACAGCAGGAAAACCCATATTGGCCCAGCCTATCACAGAATCAGCTTTACCTGGTGTATTGGTTTTAATGTGAGGGGTTTTTGGTTGTGTCTTTGGTA